TCTTTCTATGATGATAGGTCTCAAAATTATTAATTTTGCTTGTCCTGTATCATATCTTAGGGCAAGCTACTTTTCCTGACTGAATTGCAACGTGGAGCTTGGTTCGGTGGTTTTAACTGAAGCATGGCTATCTGGAAAAGGCAGTGTTATCTGTAATAAAGTAACTCCTTCAAATTTACTTTCTTGATCGTGTACTTTGGTTGGGCTGCCAGAGTCTTAATGTCTGGAAAACTATCTGTCACCCAGGGGCTCTCATTTTAAAGGACTCCAGGTTTTTAGGGGCTGGATGGCATCATCTCCCGGCATCAATTTTGTCGATGTATTCCTGAGAGCGAGCCAGCCTGAGCTGCTTGCTAATTTCCCGTCTCTTCTTCCTCTGATGACAGTCCCTGGCTCAGCAAGATTTAAGTTTTGCTCACTGTGCTCTTCTCTCCTTGCCCTCCCTGAGCTGTATTTTCTAAGCACCAATTTCTCTCCAAAATTAAAGATGAAATTTAAAGTTTAGGGGCTGCATGTTTTTTCCAAAGGTTTTTTCTCATACTCATTGATTGAGTTAGGCATCTAACTTATTCAGAGCAATCTGCCCTCCCCCCCTCCCCCAAATTATGTCATGTGAAAGGGCAATTTGACTTTTAAAATGTTCTCCATTTTAATCACCTGCTGTGCAATTAGTAACACACCTAATAAATATATTCCATGCAGCAAGAATAGGCCAGGTGTAGGGTGATGTAAGGGATCTCACTGACTGGCCTGAGTATAAATGGCAGAAATATCAAATACCGCGTGCCCCAGTCTTATTTCCAATCAATTCTAATTACTTTAGTGGTCTGACTCCAAATTCATATGTATCACAGCGTAACTGAGGTCAGGATACAGTACATGATTTTTATCTTAATACCACTTTAGTACTATAAAGGTCAAACTGAGCATCATTCAAGGAAAAGAGGTAAGGGCTTTCATAATTATTCTTCTCCCTACTCCTTGAACGAAGGGATGCAAGATTGTGTCTGCTGACGAGCATGTTACTGTTGGACATAATGCAAATTTACGTTACAAAAAAAAAAAAGAATGAAAGAGCCATTCCTGCAATAAACTCTTTCTTAAGTGAGCCCTGCTAAACTCTGTGAAAGCAGGGTCAGACCTGAAACCTCACAACACCCCTCTGCCAGGCTTTGTAGCTATGGCTGCACCAACCCCCTGCCAAAGCCCCAAGTCTAGCCCGGGAAGGGTGGCATCCCTTCTCCGGGCAAGGATTGCTCCCATTTCTGACAATTAAGAAAAGCCAGATGCATCTACCAGGCAAGAAATCCAGAACACATGGCATTAAACCTCCATGTTCATCTGTAAAAGTTCCTGCTCTCACAGGAATCATTGACTAAGTGTGACACCAGACTGGAGCTTTCCTTTTCCATTCACCCGTGACTGCCCCATTTGAATGGCCAAAGGGGCTGTAAAGTATTACCAAATATAAATGTTCCCTGCGTGCTGCGGTAGCATTTTGCTTCATTATTTAATAGTTTAATCCAATAATCCAATCCAATCCAAACTCCAATAGTTTAAACTATTTTGTTTTTGGTTTGAATGACTGCATTAGGTAGAGAGCGGTAAGCAGGGTTCAGAAGCTGGTTTTAGTTGAACTAGGTTAAGTGTTTACAGATTATGTGATATGTTTTATCATTAACTGAATATACTTCCCAATTACCTTCCCAGAAGCCCACCCTTGCAAGACATCAAATTGTTCCTTCTCTCAAGGCAGTAAGCACAGTCTTTACTAAAAACAGAGCATCATTCCAATCCCTATTCATTCAACTCATTTCCTTTTCTCATATCTCTGAAGTATTAACTGCCTAAAGAAGGAACACGAAAACCCACCAAAGCTGGTGAGAGCTAATTAAAATTCAGCCCACTGTACCACCCATAAATAGGAAATAAAGAATACATGGCTGTGATTAATCGACAATAAATGGCCATTGCTTGCTTCCTCTATTCCATACAAACATAGCTCATGTGTTTACTCAGCTCACCAAAAGAGTAACAAGC